ATGCCGCTCCTACAAAATAAGGAATAGACTATGTGAAAGTGTGTCTGACTAGTGATGGGGTTATAATAGGGGTATCCCTACTTGTCCATTTGTGGGACATTTCGTTGGTAAAACCCAATAATAATCCCCTACAAAATAAGGGAATAGTGATGTGGTTATCCTACAAAATAAGGAAATAGCACCACAAGAAGTGCTTGATTAGTGATGGGGTTATAATAGGGTATCCATACTTGTCCAATTGTCGGATATTTCGTTGGAAAAATCAAATAATAATCCTACAATATAAGGGAATACCACCACATGAAGTGTGTGATTAGTGATGGGGTTATAATAGGGTATCCCTACACAAGTTCAAACCTTCATTTACTCAGATTGGGTTTTGATTTGCACACCCCTCCTACGCGAGAGAGAGAGCCTCTATGCTATACAAATTAAGAAGCCTTAGAAGAGCTCTTGTACAAATAGTGGTGCAAATCCACTTCCCAAACCAATGTGGGACAATAGCAACTCCCAAGCTTTTTCTCTTCACGTTTCCAACTCAAATTGGTCTACTTTGAGAATCAATATCTCATTCACCGATTATCCGTTTTGAGCGTACAATATATCACTCTTCGTCTCACTACGTAGAACCCGAATCCACTTTGAACCGACCCAAATCGAAACTGGACCACACTGATACTTTTACCACAAAATAGCAACTTAATATGCCATTTTAATATATTTTTTCCAGCATTATATGTTCGGCGGTTTCCTCCGATATAAATATTTCTAGACTTCCACTCTCAAAACAAACTTAAATACTAAAAACAAACTTGTAAATTGTTTATCTTACTAAGTAATCATGATCCATGACTCCGCAATATAAGCATTGATAATTTAGTAGGTCAATATGTTATTCGACTATTATCTTTTAAGATATGCATTGCAATTTAAACACTCAATATAAATTGTTTTCATTAATAAAATTATTAATTTTACGACAGTTTAATGTGTCTTTTTTTTGTATTTTAAAAATACTGTTTAATTTTAAAACAAATGTTTATCAACAAATTTAATCATTATATTATTCATAAAGCCATCTCTCATTCAATTGTGTAACTTGTAAATAAATTTTCTATAATTGTAGCCTCGATTGTAATACCAATATTAAATATGAACAACTACTTGCCCGTCTAGCTCAGTTGGCAGAGCGCAAGGCCTCTTAACCTTGTGGTCCTGGGTTTGAGCCCTAGGGTGGGCAAATGCACAATTATTCCACCATTTTGGTGGCATGCCGCTCCTACAAAATAAGGGAATAGACCATGTAAAGTGTGTCTCTATTGATGGGGTTATAATAGGGTATCCCTACTTGTCCAATTCTGGGACATTTCGTTGGTAAAACCCAATAATAATCCCCTACAAAATAAGGGAATAGCACCACAAGAAGTGTGTGATTAGTGATGTGGTTATCCTACAAAACAAGGGAATAGCACCACAAGAAGTGCTTGATTAGTGATGGGTTATAATAGGGTATCCATACTTTTCCAATTGTCAGATATTTCGTTGGAAAAATCCAATAATAATCCTACAAAATAAGGGAATACCACCACATGAAGTGTGTGATTAGTTATGGGGTTATAATAGGGTATCCCTACACAAGTTCAAACCTTCATTTACTCAGATTGGGTTTTTGATTTGCACACCCCTCCTACGCGGGAGAGAGAGCCTCTATGCTATACAAATCAAGAAGCCTTAGAAGAGCTATTGTACAAATAGTGGTGCAAATCCACTTCCCAAACCAATGTGGGACTAAAGCTACTCCCAAGCTTTTTCCCTTCACGTTTCCAACTCAAATTGGTCTACATTGAGAATCAATATCTCATTCACCGATTATCCGTTTTGAGCGTACAATATATCAATCTCTTCGTCTCACTACGTAGAACCCGAATCCACTTTGAACCGACCCAAATCGAAACTGGACCACACTGATACTTTTACCACAAAATAGCCACTTTAATATGCCATTTTAATATATTTTTTCCAGCATTATATGTTCGGCCGGTTTCCTTCCGATATAAATATTTCTAGACTTCCACTCTCAAACAAACTTAAATACTAAAAACAAACTTGTAAATTGTTTATCTTAATAGGTAATCATGATCCCATGACTCCGCCAATTTAAGCATTGATAATTTAGTAGGTCAAATGTTAATTCGACTATTATCTTTTAAGATATGCATTGCCAATTTAAACACTCAATATAAATTGTTTTCATTAATAAAATTATTAATTTTGCGACAGTTTAATGTGTCTTTTTGTATTTTAAAAATATTGTATAATTTTCATGTTTATCAACAAATTTAATCAGTATATTATTAATAAAGCCATCTCTCATTCAATTGTGTAACTTGTAAATTAATTTTCAATAATTGTAGCCTCGATTGTAATACCAATATTAAATATGAACTACTACTTGCCGTCTAGCTCCAGTTGGTAGAGCGCAAGGCTCTTAACCTTGTGGTCCTGGGTTCGAGCCCCAGGTGGGCGAATGCATAATTACTCCACCATTTTGGTGGCATGCCGCTCCTACAAAATAAGGGAATAGACCTATGTGAAGTGTGTGACTAGTGATGGGTTATAATAGGGGTATCCCTACTTGTCCATTTGTGGGACATTTCGTTGGTAAAACCCAATAATAATCCCCTACAAAATAAGGGAATAGTGATGTGGTTATCCTACAAAATAAGGAAATAGCACCACAAGAAGTGCTTGATTAGTGATGGGGTTATAATAGGGTATCCATACTTGTCCAATTGTCGGATATTTCGTTGGAAAAATCAAATAATAATCCTACAATATAAGGGAATACCACCACATGAAGTGTGTGATTAGTGATGGGTTATAATAGGGTATCCCTACACAAGTTCAAACCTTCATTTACTCAGATTGGGTTTTGATTTGCACACCCCTCCTACGCGAGAGAGAGAGCCTCTATGCTATACAAATAAGAAGCCTTAGAAGAGCTCTTGTACAAATAGTGGTGCAAATCCACTTCCCAAACCAATGTGGGACAATAGCAACTCCCAAGCTTTTTCTCTTCACGTTTCCAACTCAAATTGGTCTACTTTGAGAATCAATATCTCATTCACCGATTATCCGTTTTGAGCGTACAATATATCACTCTTCGTCTCACTACGTAAACCCGAATCCACTTTGAACCGACCCAAATCGAAACTGGACCACACTGATACTTTTACCACAAAATAGCAACTTAATATGCCATTTTAATATATTTTTTCCAGCATTATATGTTCGGCGGTTTCCTCCGATATAAATATTTCTAGACTTCCACTCTCAAACAAACTTAAATACTAAAAAACAAACTTGTAAATTGTTTATCTTACTAAGTAATCATGATCCATGACTCCGCAATATAAGCATTGATAATTTAGTAGGTCAATATGTTATTCGACTATTATCTTTTAAGATATGCATTGCAATTTAAACACTCAATATAAATTGTTTTCATTAATAAAATTATTAATTTTACGACAGTTTAATGTGTCTTTTTTTTGTATTTTAAAAATACTGTTTAATTTTAAAACAAATGTTTATCAACAAATTTAATCATTATATTATTCATAAAGCCATCTCTCATTCAATTGTGTAACTTGTAAATAAATTTTCTATAATTGTAGCCTCGATTGTAATACCAATATTAAATATGAACAACTACTTGCCCCGTCTAGCTCAGTTGGCAGAGCGCAAGGCTCTTAACCTTGTGGTCCTGGGTTTGAGCCCTAGGGTCGGGCAAATGCACAATTATTCCACCATTTTGGTGGCATGCCCGCTCCTACAAAATAAGGGAATAGACCATGTAAAGTGTGTCTCTATTGATGGGGTTATAATAGGGTATCCCTACTTGTCCAATTCTGGGACATTTCTTTGGTAAAACCCAATAATAATCCCCTACAAAATAAGGGAATAGCACCACAAGAAGTGTGTGATTAGTGATGTGGTTATCCTACAAAACAAGGGAATAGCACCACAAGAAGTGCTTGATTAGTGATGGGGTTATAATAGGGTATCCATACTTTTCCAATTGTCAGATATTTCGTTGGAAAAATCCAATAATAATCCTACAAAATAAGGGAATACCACCACATGAAGTGTGTGATTAGTTATGGGGTTATAATAGGGTATCCCTACACAAGTTCAAACCTTCATTTACTCAGATTGGGTTTTGATTTGCACACCCCTCCTACGCGGGAGAGAGAGCCTCTATGCTATACAAATCAAGAAGCCTTAGAAGAGCTATTGTACAAATAGTGGTGCAAATCCACTTCCCAAACCAATGTGGGACTAAAGCTACTCCCAAGCTTTTTCCCTTCACGTTTCCAACTCAAATTGGTCTACATTGAGAATCAATATCTCATTCACCGATTATCCGTTTTGAGCGTACAATATATCAATCTCTTCGTCTCACTACGTAGAACCCGAATCCACTTTGAACCGACCCAAATCGAAACTGGACCACACTGATACTTTTACCACAAAATAGCCACTTAATATGCCATTTTAATATATTTTTTCCAGCATTATATGTTCGCCGGTTTCCTCCGATATAAATATTTCTAGACTTCCACTCTCAAACAAACTTAAATACTAAAAACAAACTTGTAAATTGTTTATCTTAATAGGTAATCATGATCCATGACTCCGCAATTTAAGCATTGATAATTTAGTAGGTCAAATGTTATTCGACTATTATCTTTTAAGATATGCATTGCAATTTAAACACTCAATATAAATTGTTTTCATTAATAAAATTATTAATTTTGCGACAGTTTAATGTGTCTTTTTGTATTTTAAAAATATTGTATAATTTTCATGTTTATCAACAAATTTAATCAGTATATTATTAATAAAGCCATCTCTCATTCAATTGTGTAACTTGTAAATTAATTTTCAATAATTGTAGCCTCGATTGTAATACCAATATTAAATATGAACTACTACTTGCTCGTCTAGCTCAGTTGGTAGAGCGCAAGGCTCTTAACCTTGTGGTCCTGGGTTCGAGCCCCAAGGGTGGGCGAATGCATAATTACTCCACCATTTGGTGGCATGCCGCTCCTACAAAATAAGGAATAGACCATGTGAAGTGTGTGACTAGTGATGGGGTTATAATAGGGGTATCCCTACTTGTCCAATTTGTGGGACATTTCGTTGGTAAAACCCAATAATAATCCCCTACAAAATAAGGGAATAGTGATGTGGTTATCCTACAAAATAAGGAAATAGCACCACAAGAAGTGCTTGATTAGTGATGGGGTTATAATAGGGTATCCATACTTGTCCAATTGTCGGATATTTCGTTGGAAAAATCAAATAATAATCCTACAATATAAGGAATACCACCACATGAAGTGTGTGATTAGTGATGGGGTTATAATAGGGTATCCCTACACAAGTTCAAACCTTCATTTACTCAGATTGGGTTTTGATTTGCACACCCCTCCTACGCGAGAGAGAGAGCCTCTATGCTATACAAATTAAGAAGCCTTAGAAGAGCTCTTGTACAAATAGTGGTGCAAATCCACTTCCCAAACCAATGTGGGACAATAGCAACTCCCAAGCTTTTTCTCTTCACGTTTCCAACTCAAATTGGTCTACTTTGAGAATCAATATCTCATTCACCGATTATCCGTTTTGAGCGTACAATATATCACTCTTCGTCTCACTACGTAGAACCCGAATCCACTTTGAACCGACCCAAATCGAAACTGGACCACACTGATACTTTTACCACAAAATAGCAACTTAATATGCCATTTTAATATATTTTTTCCAGCATTATATGTTCGGCGGTTTCCTCCGATATAAATATTTCTAGACTTCCACTCTCAAACAAACTTAAATACTAAAAACAAACTTGTAAATTGTTTATCTTACTAAGTAATCATGATCCATGACTCCGCAATATAAGCATTGATAATTTAGTAGGTCAATATGTTATTCGACTATTATCTTTTAAGATATGCATTGCAATTTAAACACTCAATATAAATTGTTTTCATTAATAAAATTATTAATTTTACGACAGTTTAATGTGTCTTTTTTTTGTATTTTAAAAATACTGTTTAATTTTAAAACAAATGTTTATCAACAAATTTAATCATTATATTATTCATAAAGCCATCTCTCATTCAATTGTGTAACTTGTAAATAAATTTTCTATAATTGTAGCCTCGATTGTAATACCAATATTAAATATGAACAACTACTTGCCCCGTCTAGCTCAGTTGGCAGAGCGCAAGGCTCTTAACCTTGTGGTCCTGGGTTTGAGCCCTAGGGTCGGCAAATGCACAATTATTCCACCATTTTGGTGGCATGCCGCTCCTACAAAATAAGGGAATAGACCATGTAAAGTGTGTCTCTATTGATGGGGTTATAATAGGGTATCCCTACTTGTCCAATTCTGGGACATTTCGTTTGGTAAAAACCCAATAATAATCCCCTACAAAATAAGGGAATAGCACCACAAGAAGTGTGTGATTAGTGATGTGGTTATCCTACAAAACAAGGGAATAGCACCACAAGAAGTGCTTGATTAGTGATGGGGTTATAATAGGGTATCCATACTTTTCCTAATTGTCAGATATTTCGTTGGAAAAATCCAATAATAATCCTACAAAATAAGGGAATACCACCACATGAAGTGTGTGATTAGTTATGGGGTTATAATAGGGTATCCCTACACAAGTTCAAACCTTCATTTACTCAGATTGGGTTTGATTTGCACACCCCTCCTACGCGGGAGAGAGAGCCTCTATGCTATACAAATCAAGAAGCCTTAGAAGAGCTATTGTACAAATAGTGGTGCAAAATCCACTTCCCAAACCAATGTGGGACTAAAGCTACTCCCAAGCTTTTTCCCTTCACGTTTCCAACTCAAATTGGTCTACATTGAGAATCAATATCTCATTCACCGATTATCCGTTTTGAGCGTACAATATATCAATCTCTTCGTCTCACTACGTAGAACCCGAATCCACTTTGAACCGACCCAAATCGAAACTGGACCACACTGATACTTTTACCACAAAATAGCCACTTAATATGCCATTTTAATATATTTTTTCCAGCATTATATGTTCGCCGGTTTCCTCCGATATAAATATTTCTAGACTTCCACTCTCAAACAAACTTAAATACTAAAAACAAACTTGTAAATTGTTTATCTTAATAGGTAATCATGATCCATGACTCCGCAATTTAAGCATTGATAATTTAGTAGGTCAAATGTTATTCGACTATTATCTTTTAAGATATGCATTGCAATTTAAACACTCAATATAAATTGTTTTCATTAATAAAATTATTAATTTTGCGACAGTTTAATGTGTCTTTTTGTATTTTAAAAATATTGTATAATTTTCATGTTTATCAACAAATTTAATCAGTATATTATTAATAAAGCCATCTCTCATTCAATTGTGTAACTTGTAAATTAATTTTCAATAATTGTAGCCTCGATTGTAATACCAATATTAAATATGAACTACTACTTGCTCGTCTAGCTCAGTTGGTAGAGCGCAAGGCTCTTAACCTTGTGGTCCTGGGTTCGAGCCCCAGGGTGGGCGAATGCATAATTACTCCACCATTTTGGTGGCATGCCGCTCCTACAAAATAAGGGAATAGACTCATGTGAAGTGTGTGACTAGTGATGGGGTTATAATAGGGGTATCCCTACTTGTCCATTTGTGGGACATTTCGTTGGTAAAACCCAATAATAATCCCCTACAAAATAAGGGAATAGTGATGTGGTTATCCTACAAAATAAGGAAATAGCACCACAAGAAGTGCTTGATTAGTGATGGGGTTATAATAGGGTATCCATACTTGTCCAATTGTCGGATATTTCGTTGGAAAAATCAAATAATAATCCTACAATATAAGGGAATACCACCACATGAAGTGTGTGATTAGTGATGGGGTTATAATAGGGTATCCCTACACAAGTTCAAACCTTCATTTACTCAGATTGGGTTTTGATTTGCACACCCCTCCTACGCGAGAGAGAGAGCCTCTATGCTATACAAATTAAGAAGCCTTAGAAGAGCTCTTGTACAAATAGTGGTGCAAATCCACTTCCCAAACCAATGTGGGACAATAGCAACTCCCAAGCTTTTTCTCTTCACGTTTCCAACTCAAATTGGTCTACTTTGAGAATCAATATCTCATTCACCGATTATCCGTTTTGAGCGTACAATATATCACTCTTCGTCTCACTACGTAGAACCCGAATCCACTTTGAACCGACCCAAATCGAAACTGGACCACACTGATACTTTTACCACAAAATAGCAACTTAATATGCCATTTTAATATATTTTTTCCAGCATTATATGTTCGGCGGTTTCCTCCGATATAAATATTTCTAGACTTCCACTCTCAAACAAACTTAAATACTAAAAACAAACTTGTAAATTGTTTATCTTACTAAGTAATCATGATCCATGACTCCGCCAATATAAGCATTGATAATTTAGTAGGTCAATATGTTATTCGGACTATTATCTTTTAAGATATGCATTGCAATTTAAACACTCAATATAAATTGTTTTCATTAATAAAATTATTAATTTTACGACAGTTTAATGTGTCTTTTTTTGTATTTTAAAAATACTGTTTAATTTTAAAACAAATGTTTATCAACAAATTTAATCATTATATTATTCATAAAGCCATCTCTCATTCAATTGTGTAACTTGTAAATAAATTTTCTATAATTGTAGCCTCGATTGTAATACCAATATTAAATATGAACAACTACTTGCCCGTCTAGCTCAGTTGGCAGAGCGCAAGGCTCTTAACCTTGTGGTCCTGGGTTTGAGCCCTAGGGTCGGCCAAATGCACAATTATTCCACCATTTTGGTGGCATGCCGCTCCTACAAAATAAGGGAAATAGACCATGTAAAGTGTGTCTCTATTGATGGGGTTATAATAGGGTATCCCTACTTGTCCAATTCTGGGACATTTCTTTGGTAAAACCCAATAATAATCCCCTACAAAATAAGGGAATAGCACCACAAGAAGTGTGTGATTAGTGATGTGGTTATCCTACAAAACAAGGGAATAGCACCACAAGAAGTGCTTGATTAGTGATGGGTTATAATAGGGTATCCATACTTTTCCAATTGTCAGATATTTCGTTGGAAAAATCCAATAATAATCCTACAAAATAAGGGAATACCACCACATGAAGTGTGTGATTAGTTATGGGTTATAATAGGGTATCCCTACACAAGTTCAAACCTTCATTTACTCAGATTGGGTTTTGATTTGCACACCCCTCCTACGCGGGAGAGAGAGCCTCTATGCTATACAAATCAAGAAGCCTTAGAAGAGCTATTGTACAAATAGTGGTGCAAATCCACTTCCCAAACCAATGTGGGACTAAAGCTACTCCCAAGCTTTTTCCCTTCACGTTTCCAACTCAAATTGGTCTACATTGAGAATCAATATCTCATTCACCGATTATCCGTTTTGAGCGTACAATATATCAATCTCTTCGTCTCACTACGTAGAACCCGAATCCACTTTGAACCGACCCAAATCGAAACTGGACCACACTGATACTTTTACCACAAAATAGCCACTTAATATGCCATTTTAATATATTTTTTCCAGCATTATATGTTCGCGGTTTCCTCCGATATAAATATTTCTAGACTTCCACTCTCAAACAAACTTAAATACTAAAAACAAACTTGTAAATTGTTTATCTTAATAGGTAATCATGATCCATGACTCCGCAATTTAAGCATTGATAATTTAGTAGGTCAAATGTTATTCGACTATTATCTTTTAAGATATGCATTGCAATTTAAACACTCAATATAAATTGTTTTCATTAATAAAATTATTAATTTTGCGACAGTTTAATGTGTCTTTTTGTATTTTAAAAATATTGTATAATTTTCATGTTTATCAACAAATTTAATCAGTATATTATTAATAAAGCCATCTCTCATTCAATTGTGTAACTTGTAAATTAATTTTCAATAATTGTAGCCTCGATTGTAATACCAA